GATGATCGATAATTCTGGCCAAAATCCCGACTTTGCCGAAATTCTCTCATTATCGGTTATTTCATCGGTGATGAGATTTAAACGGATTTCAATGTTATCTGAATTTCGTTTCGGGATCCCAGACCCGACTCGGCAAATCTTGTTGCGAAATGTGTTTTTAAATTTAGTTTGTTTTTTTCCTCCTCCAAGAGTTACCATTTATGATAATTCAAAGCAAGATGATCGATAATTCAGGCCAAAATCTCGAAAACCATTTCTCTTGTATTATTATTTCAACGACACATTCTTAAATTTTAAAAAATTTTGTAGTGACCTTAATTTTCAGTTAGCTAATAATGTATCATAAAATTCAGATGTTATTTATCTGAATTATATTAACTCTTTATTAGAGGTCTAAGTAATTTTTTTAAAGGAAGTGATGAACTTACCTAATTTTTTTTTAAGGAATTATAAATTTTATATGAAATAATCGTGCCGGTGATGCAACCTATTTTTTTTTTTTCACTTTCAAAATATGGGGAAAAAATTACAAATAAAAGTACCTATTAAATAGGATACTATATTATTCAAAATATCTTATTTAAATTGTTAAATTCTGTTTAAATAACACAAATTATTAAATAATTTATATTTTCAATTAGTAAATGCTATATTTTTATTATGAAGAATTTTACTAACTCCAAAGGATTCCTAACTCCAAAAAAGAAAATTAAAACATTTAATTTGTTAACTACCATTCAGTTCATAACTTTTAAAATTCTATGATGATTGGATTATTACTTGAGTTCAAAATTTTTTAACCTAAAATAAAGTGTTCAGGGACCAATTCATGTCTTTAGAACAATTAATCATGACAACAAAATTTGATATTCTCTATGGAAAATAGTTAACATATATGTGATCCTCAATTCACCTTTATAAAAGTTTCTGTTTAGAAAATAAAATATTGATTTTGCTTTTAATATTTTTTTTTCAAGAATCCTAAGAATTCTGAAACATTAAATTGAGTTACAATCGAATCGACATTTCGATCATTTCACACAATTTCAGAATGGTTGCCGAGTTCAAAGTGGTAAATGTTGTAACTTTGGATTCATTAATTATTTCAATAAAAATATGGTGAAAATAGATAATTCCGAATATTCACGGAGAAGTGGCAATTCTGTTTGATCAAGCCGTTGCGACTCGATCTTGTGAAGCAGCAGACAAAACCCCGGATATTTCTGTCAACTTGAAAAATCGAGGGTCTTTTAAAAGTGGTTAGCAAAAAATGCCCTAAGCTATATTTTCTCATGTTTTCTCTTACTCTTTCTGAGAATAAAGACAATATCTTTGTCCATGTGGTTAAGAAGGGGAAGGAAGGTGCTCGATGCACATGCAGCTGTGTAGCAATTACTTCATTGACCTGTCTTTAACTGTCTAGTACGGATACTTAGTTACTCAAAGCGTATTTTATAAATTCATATTATTATTGAATAAAATAGAAAATCCGCTCACATGCCAACGATCATCCTATCTACCACAGTCTAAGTTTCGAATGTAAGTATAATTTTTTTATGAATACATATTTATTATTTACAGTCTTATAGTTTAAATATTAAGTTTAATTAAATTGCATTAAATGTGCTATTACTTTCCAATGAAATTATTTCGGGTAAGAATTGATTTTTATGAAGCAGATAAAATTATTTTTTTAATCTTTTTTGTGCTGTAAAATAATTAAAAGAACGAAAAAAGAGCAATTAAAAATCCTATGTTATTTATATTCATTAGTAGGAGCTAGGGATAGAAAAAGATAAATCCCATTTGAATTCTGAAAATTGGAATTCTTTTTCCGTTTTTTACTTTTTACGAAGCTTTTATTTTGTGTTTAGATTTTTTCAGCTGAAATTATTTTTTATAGATCTTATTTGATTGAAATTTCAAATTCTATATTTCGTTGTTGGCTTTGTTTTTCCAAACTGCAATCCTTTATGAACAAAAATGTACTAATGCTAATTTTATTGAAAATGTAACGTGTTTAAAAATAGAAAGTTTCAGTTTTTTTTGATAAATAATTCTTTTTAGTTATTTTGTACTGTCGTCCCCACTTAATCGCATATCGGATAATTGAATTACCCGCTTATACGAATAAAATTTAATGGAACCAAATCATTTTAGAAGAAACTAATGTTAAACTTCCCCGTTTAAACGGTTATTTGTTGTTTTTTGCTCCAGCCTAATTGCATAAAGAAGTGGTACTGAAATGAAACAAATATTTTTTATTTTTGAGAAATGTTTCACCGGCTAAAATGGAATTTCCCTTTTTCAGTTAAGATAAAGATACAATAGGTGGTCACTTCAATAAGGACTTCTTACTCATTAGTAGGTGTTTGGGGTAAAGTTGGAAAATTAATCAAATCTTGCTGCCAGTTTTATACATTGAAGTAAACGAAGGGTTTTTTACCCCTCTTTGACTTACTTCGCACACACATCATTTAGAATGTAAAAAAAGGATAGAGTGATTTGTCCTGTGATCCCCTGTTGATGCACTATTAACTTTGATAAGAAGAAGTTTCAAAAACCTAACACACTAGTGTACAGAGAGTCTTTCTCTTAAATAGAATAATTGCTTAACCCAGTTAATGACTTTGAGTTGGGAGTTGGGTGCAAGTTGAGAGCGAATAGGAATGATTTAAATTAATCGGAAAAAAGCAAAACAATGAATCTTAGAAGTAACAAATTTCAGAAAACCCTTAACTAAAATAGCGCATTAATTACAATAAAGCATTAATTAAAATTTCTCAAGTTTCGAAGATTAAAAAAAATAAATATAAAAGTAAAAAAAATTCTGAATGTGTTTGAAAGGAATACACGCAAATCATGAAATTTTTAGTAGAAATTAAAAGGGAATATCTAATTTTGATGAATTCAACTCGTATAAAAAACAGTCTTCAATTAAAGATTTTTTCGGAAGGGATCAATTAATATTTTAGTACCTACATTATAGTTTTTACTAATATTGATTTATTTTTATGTAATTTTAAATGACATTTATATTTTATGATACTAACGCATACAGTTTTAATTATAATTGTTTATTGATCATAAAACTGAGCTTATTTAATCAAAATGCTATACTATGCATTAAATACCATTAAAAAGTAAAATTTCGTAAAAATTCAGAATTTTGGATTGAATATTGCACTCCCCTTTTAATCGAATAACTCGTTTAATTGCATAGATTTGGCTGGAACCGATGGTATTCCTTTGAGCGGGGTTGACGTATTTCTTATGTATTTAATTATTTAATGTTTCTATATTATCTTTTTGACTAAAGTTAACAGTTTTTCATTTAAGTTAATTATTAGTAAAAAAAAC